TATATATATATATATATATATATATATATATATATATATATATATATATATATATATATCAGTGTTCTGCATTGCAACATTATAATTTTAATTGTGCTTTTATATGGGCATGACTAGTTTGCTTGACTTTTTCGATTAGTTGCTTGTTCCTTCCGTGTATATTTTCATATATATATATATATATCATTCAAATGTTTTGGATCAGTATCTAATTTATTTTTTAAAAAGAAATCAATACTCTCATTTGCCAAGGATGCATTAAATGAATCAAAAGTGACAGTAAAGACATGATAATGTTACAAAAGATTTATATTTCAAAAATAGGGCCTTTTTGAACTTTCTATTCATCAAATAATCAAACGTTTTCAACATTGATAATATTAAGAAATGTTTCTTAAGCAGCAAATCAGTACGTTAGAATGATTTCTGAAGAATCATGTGGCACTGAAAACTGAAGTAATGATGCTGGAAATACAGCTTTAATATCACAGAAATAAAATATATTCAAATAGAAAACAGTTATTTTAAATTGTAATAATATTTCACAATATTCCTTTTTTTTATTTTGATCAAATAAATGCAACCTTGATAATAATAATAATAAAAAAAAAAAACATACAGGCCACAAATATGAACCACATATTAATGACAAAAGTTAACTAATAAGTTAAAAACTAATATCTTGCAATTATCTATACAGTATATCACCCACCCTTATCGGCCTGATATCCGACCACTGTATTATTATTTTTCATGAACATTCTTTTCATTTTTTTACGGTTCACCTGTAGTTAAACAGCCTCAGGGCTATTGTGGAGGATATGAGGTCCTCCTCATCCTCTCTACTCTCACAAAGTGGACAGCAGGAGGCAGTAAGCTTCAGCAAAGCAGACGATCAGGCTCAGAGTGCAGGTCAGGATCAGGGTCAACAGCAGACAGGAGGTCAGGGTCTGGAACAGGAGGTCAGTCAGTTATCCCAGTCATGCAACAAACCTGAGGACAAGACCACTCACCTCATGAACCAGGGACATGAGGACAGGAACCAGGTACATGACACAGAGACAGACATGAAATGTCTCTTCTTCATATTTATTCTTCTTAAGTCATTTTAGGAAACATCTGGAAGGAAACACTTAAACGAGATGTTGAAGTCTCCTGATTTCCAAAAGATGACTGAAATGTTCTCGTATGAGTGTGTGATGTTGTTTTGCTGTAGAACACTAATCTGGTGAGCGACTTAGAGGGAGCCATACTGCAGCTGCAGTCCGAGTGTGAGAAACTCCACAGAACATCCAACCGCCTGATGGAGGAACACAGCAAGAAACAGACACACATCGACGTGAGTAAACAGAGAGCCTCATAAGACATCATTTACTTCCATCACTTACCTAGCTTGTGGTTTTTACAGCGTCTGTTCAAGATAGTGGAGGAACTGGATGAAAAGAAAGCTGACAAGCAAGTGGTGGAAATGGAAATTGAAATCGTGAGTTGTTTCTTTATACAGTTCATAAACAATCCAAGTTCATCAACTCTTCGTGGTCCCCACTGGACCATCACAGTCACTCTCAGTCAGTGGGTGTCATCTCGTTGCTCCTCAGAAAGCAGACAAGCGGGCTCTGGAGAGCAAGGTGAGCCGCATGCAGTTCGACAGCATGGCAGAGCAGCTCAATAACATGATACAGGATCTGCTGAGGAAGATCAGCGGTCAGGAGCAGGACTGGAACAAGGTGATCGAGAAGATCTCCACTGAGATGGACTGCAAGGTGAGAGACGGACAGACCGAAGCAGTCCTTCTTTGAAGTCATTGAAATTCTCCATGGTGTAAAAATATATTCAAACCTCTATGAACTCGTATAACTTACATTTCTCACTTTTCTATCTTTTCCAGAAATATAGTGACTTGTTTTGTTTACGTTTGGAGCTAAGCATTATGATCACATAAAATGTAATGAAAATTATATTAAAAAAGGCATCATTTCTTTTTTTAATTTCTTTTCATTTGGGGTGAAATGTGACCTGGACATGTTTTTGTGAGATTTACCCAAATACACATTCATTTATAATTAAATTAAATTAAATTAAAAATGAATGTGTATTTGGGTAAATCTCGCAAAAAACATGTACAGGTCACATTTCACCCCAAATGAAAAAGAAATAAAAAAATAAATTATTTAATTTAATTTAATTCAATTTAATTAATAATTTTATTTTATTTTATTTTTAAATAATAATTTAAATTAGCTAGTTGTTACAGTCTCACAAACCCCTTGTACTTCCATCATGACTATGATTTTGTGCATGTGTCTTGTACTGCAGTTGAACCGGATTGAGCTGGATCCTCTGAAGAAAGAGCTTGACGATCGGTGGAGGACCATTCATAAACATCTGCAGACACCTCCGATCCCCGAGCAGGACGACGCCGCTGGACTCAGGAAGTGAGGCACCAGATTCACTTTTTCTAATTAATATATTATATATATAAATGTATATGCATGTAAATATTTTCAAAATATATACTGTATGTGTGTGTATTTATAAATACACACAGTACACGTGCATATATTATGTAAACAAAAACTTTTATTTTGGATGCGATTAATCGCGATTAATCATTTGACAGCACTAATATTATAGAATACTGACAATCAGCACTAAAACCTTTAATATATTTAATTTTCTTTATTTTAATTTAGTTTTTGTCTATTATTAAATATTGTCTAATTATTGTATATAAGTTTTGTCTTTTGATATGTTGACGAGATGAGCACACCTGCATATTCCACTGGTGCAATGTCAAATTTGCAAAATTTATGAAAAATTTGTGAAATTTCACCAGCCGAAAAGGTCCATTCTCCACTGATGCACAAAACACAAAACTCACTTTCACGCCAAGCTTCATTCTGTTGGTCAATGCAGCTAATTTGCATGAAAAAAAAATGATACAAAATTTCCATTTGTGTGAATTCCTTTTGAAATGACTGGATATTGCCTGCAACACTAAATGTTTCCGCACCTTCAGACCGGTCAACACACTCATGGCAGTTCATACGTATTGTGCGTTTTGGCGAATTTGTGGTGAATCTCATTGCTGCAATGTGGATCAGACTTTATGCTGATAGTCACTGAGCTTGACCTTAAACCTAAAGTCAAACATATACTAAACCCTAATGCCTGAGGTTCTCTACACAAGTATGTCAAAACATATGTTGTTGCATTCAGAGCTGAACTCATGACACAAAGCATGCTGGGAATGCGTTTGCCAAGCATTTGCATCATTGTGTATGTTTCTGTAATGTTGCATTATCACTATCTGAATAACCTCTGTTTGACTAACATGATGGTGGTTGTATGGAAACAAGCCTCACTGTCTTTGTGTCTTTCTTACTCTGTGTCAAAGACAATTAGTGGCCCGGTTTCACTGCATCTCCTGTGATCGCCCCGTGGATATGATGACACCAGGACAGTACGTAAATATTATAAAGGACAACTGACATGACACTTTTTGGTAACACTTTACAGTAAGGTAAAATTTGTTGACACTAGTTAACTACATTAGTTAACATGACAACTAAGAAAAAGTACAGATGTTACAATGTACAGACGTACATTGTAACATCTGAGAGGCATGTTGTAACATGACCATGTGACAGCTTCAAATGTTATCTGATCTTATGAAAAACAATATTCAAGACAAACAAATATTTTGTCAATAAAATAAAATGATTAACTTTTTAAGAATTAAAAATAAACTGATTTTGGAGTTTAACTCACACACACACTCACACTCTCACACACACACACACACACACTCTCACACACACACACACACACACACACACACACACACACACACACACACACACACACACACACACACTCACACCACACACATTTTTTAACATGTTTCTAACATTATTAGCATGTTGCTAACACGTTTTTATATTATATAATCATAAAATTCTGGCCAAATTGGCCCTACCAAGCATAACTTTATATTTAATGTTTGATAAATGAACCCATTGCAACCATGCTTGGGACGGCCCACATAAACGAGCCAAAATGCTTTACATTTCTTGAAATAATAACTTCTGTACATTAAACATTGACTGTCAGTCTTTATTCACTTTCTCGTAGTTTCTCATTAAAGTAAAAGTTGCTTGGATAATGTCACAGAATAGCATAGTTTAATAATAGCGGGGCACATTGTAACGCAGTATTACAACATTTTCCCATATGCGCAGCTGGTTAGTGTCTTCTGCTAGTTAGCGTAGCATTGAAGAACTATCTAAACTGATAAATAACAGATTGGAGTTTTAGCTAATATCAGATTTGTCTAATTTTAAATGAATGCTAAAAACTGAGATGAAAAATGTACTTAAGCCAGAAATTTACTTTTACTATGGTAAAATTAATGTTCAACCATATCGTCAAAAGATTTTAGAATTTTAGCACACTTTGATATGGCAACTAGTAAATACCATACATTTTGTTTTGCTAGCATGTGTGGAAATATTCAAACCACGTGTGTTACTTTGTGCCCCGCGCTCCCCTGTCACTTGTCAAGTGTTCTCATTAGACATCCTTACACTGTTGTTGTAAACACTATAGTAACGTCTCTCACAATCTCTGCTTTTTTCACAGGAACTTGGTGACTCTGCCCTCTGCCCCAGGACTGCCCTCTCACAAGTCCAGCCGGCCCTACACTGTGTATGAGCTGGAGCAGGTGCGACAGCACTGCAGGAGGTGAGACACGTCCCACTGCAGCATTTACTGTGCTTGTCCAGCGGGGGGAATCAAAACCCAAACTTGCTCCACTGTGTTCTGCAGATACCGCACAGTACACCTGACACGAACCTCGCTGTTCTGTACGTACAAAAACTTTGTGTACTTTAGGACAGTGTTTGAGGAACTAACAGAAAGTATTTGGACACACATAATGAAATATCAAAACAGGTGGCATTTCTTTTAAAGAATAAAATCAAACAAGCACACTTTTTTCTAGCAAGAACATTCACAAAAAGCATTCAAGTATTAGAAGTATTCAAGCGTACTCTTAGTAGGCCTATACTTCTTTTCAACTCAAAATAAGAGCGTAAACTTTCAGTCTACTTTTTATGTAGTTATCAGAGATGTACTTAAAATTACACTTAAGAATAGTTGGCTTATACTGACAAGTACACAGAAAAGTCTATATTTATATTTGGACTATTCATGTTTTGAATCCTTTCATCAAGATATACTTTAGAGAAAAGCATATTGAAGTATTCTTTACATGTTCAAGGTTAGAGTATTGTAGTTTATAGTAGCTTAGAGTAAATATTAAGTCATTACCAGAATAAATAATTAAAACCAAAAGGAATATTTATTACCTATTTATATATTTCCATAAAATATTTAGTATTTTACTCGACCCAAAATATCAAGTCAAATTGCAGAAAGAGCAAGTGTCTTTATTGAATACATAAATCTTTGGCATAAATAATGTGATAGTGTAGATCACATTAAAAGTATATAAAAAGGTTTCTTTCAAGTCTAAAAATTAACACCTAAATAGAAACCTAGTAGTGTACTTAAATTGCAAAACTAATACAATTGTTAAACTAAAAGTATGATGATAAAAAAACAAGTATACTTGTAGTATAGTATAAACCGGTAGTTCACTGAGAGTATACTTCAAAGTGTACTTAAAAAGTGCGTTTGAAGTAGCTAATTCACTAGTAGTATAGTTATAACATAGTAATACAAAATAAATACTTTTAACTATATACAAACTAGATGTGTACTTAAAGTTTACTACTTATACATATAAAAATTGGTTTTATAAACTAAAAAGTGGGTCAATTTTGTCCCATGAAGAATTGAAATAGTACACTTACATGTATACTACTAGCAGAATACTTACATAGAGTACTTGGAATATATCAGATGAAGTTGAAGTATGCTTCTTTTCTAGTTATTTAATGAAATGATATGAAGGTGTCCCATTTTCTATCCCAGTGTAAAATAAAATTAAAATTAAGCAGTGAAATACTGTCCCCATCAGTGTTGCCAGACGTACAATAATTATCATCTCATGTCGTGTCAATCGTGGAGATTGACTCTCTCTCGCACGTTCCTGCCGCACTTAAGTCCGTTGTTTCAAAGCTGCGGTCGATAATTTTGCAATAAAGTATAGAAAATGAGTGCTGAAAAGGATAAATAGTTGCAACATCTAGATAAATAACTGTATTCTGAACGTTTGACTCGTGCACGCTAATTTTTTTCCAAATACGATAATTTTGAGCTTCTGGTACGATACTTGGACATTTCCAATCTGGCAACACTGGTCCCCATGACCAGTGGCGATTAGTGATGAAGTCTTAATAAATTCAGCATTTATTTATCTCAGCCTGGAGCCAGGTACTAACCAGAATAACTTTAAGACGGCTTGTTTTGACAGAGGCTCGGCGCAGGGTGAGCAAAGCCATGTTTTAATATGCAGGCAGATAGATAAGAGTTTAGTCAGTGTCCCAAATCAAGAACCCCAAAGCTCCCACACAGCCAGGGTCTGCCAGACATTTCTCGGACCCGCTACCGGCCCAACCTGGGTCCAGCAAAGAGGAGCAGCAGTCGGACCATGAGCAAGCAGTGAGCAAAGCTTTCTTAGGTAGATGTCAGTTTTTCAGACCAGCCACAGATATCTAGAGACTCCAGAAAATGTATATTTTAAAACTCTCTGTTCAAGTACTCTTAAGAATAAAGGATCTTTATCGGCTTTGATGGTTCCATGAAGAACCTTCAACATCCGCGGAAACGTCCCATTGCACTAAAAGTTCTTTATAGTGAATAAATGTTCTTCACACTAAGAAAAAATGGTTCTTTTAAGAACTTATCACTGAAAGGTTCTCTGGGGAAACAGAAAACCCCTTTTTGGAAACGTTTTAAAGGGATAGTTCACCCAAAATGAAAATTCTGTCATTAATTACTCACCCTCATGTCATTCCAAACCAGTAATACCTTCATTCATCTTCAGAACACAGATTAAGATATTTTTGATGAAATCCGAGAGCTTTCGTTCAGCAACGCAACTGACACGTTCAATGGCCACAAAGGTAGTAAGGACAACAGGTGCATCCCAAACCGCATACTTATGCACTATTCTATGACGTTTTGTAGTATAAATAGTGCAAGTTCTGTGTTCACACTGAAAATTCCAAAAAGAAAAAGTGCACTTAAATAACCAAAAAAAAAAAAAATGAAGTGTGGAATGTTGGACACTTCATGCACTCAACTGTCGCAGCTTTAATTATGTGGCGAAGGGGGAGGGGCTATCAGACTCTGATTATGAATCACAAAATAACCTTATATAATTCATACACTATATAGATGAGTACATAGTGTCTAAGTACATAGTGTATAAGTGCATAGTGTGTAATGCGTCATTTGGCATGCAGCTGTTAAAATAGACCATGTGACATCAGTGTTTCAAATGTAATGTTATGAAGCTACGAGAATACTTTTTGTGCATTTATTCAACAATTCCTCGTCTTCAGTGTCAGTCTTTGAACCACTGATGTCACATGGACTATTTTAAAGATGTCCTTACTACCTTTCTGGGTCTTGATCATGGTAGTTCCCTTGTGGTCTATGGAGGGTCAGAAAGCGCTCGGATTTCATCAAATATATCATAATTTGTGTTCTGAAGGTCTTACGGGTTTGGAACGACATGAGGGTGAGTAATTAACGAGAGAATTTAAATTTTTGGGTGAAGTATCCCTTTAAGAGTGCTGAGTGATGTTTTATTGTCTGTTGTGCAGTGAGAGGATCCCAGAAATGGCTGATTACTGTTACCTGTCCCGTAACTGTGGGGGCAGCCACACCCTCACCTACCCCAGCCGCCGCTACACCCGCCTTCAGCACATCACCCATATGATCCAGAGCGAAGAGGAGAGTCGGCCCGTGTCCACTGGACCGCCCACAGAGGTCTGCCACAGAATCAGTTGAAAATGTCATAAACAGTGAGTATGTATGAACCGTGAGCTGTGTTTCTTCAGGCAGCAGAGGTGGACATCTTAGGTTTGGATGGACAGGTCTACAAGGGCCGAATGAGCAGCAGAGCAGTGAGACTCTCCGAGACCAGATTTCCCACCATCTCTCCTCGAGAAGGTAATATCACACGTCACACTCCACACACAGTAATAGCCAGAGGGAATATTTGCACAGTAATGACCCATCAAGTTTGATTAAACCATCAAACTATGAGGAGTATGTTATATTGGGATAATGAAATATGGGTTTTTGTTTAGCTACACAAATGCTTATAAAAACAAGTAACTCACAGGAAATAAAGCATACTTTGACTACAATATAGTCAGTTATTAATATTTCACTGGTTCACTATTGTTTTCGGGCATTACTCAATAAGCTTTCTGCATGTATCATGCCCAATTTCTTGCAAAGCCTCCTTAAATTCCTCCCAAAGTTGAGATTCATTCATCAGCTATGAATTTCCCAAAGGTTTTCAATGGGATTAAGTAACACTCTCGCTGCTCGCCTGCATTGCGTATGTGGTGTGTTTGGCATTATTGTGTTAGAAATGAAAAACACATTCACTATGGCTAACACCTGCCATAGTGATTGATTCAATTATAGGCTGGGAATAATGAGAGCAAGCTTTGTATGTTAGCTTTGGCCAAAAATTATGTCTGCACGATTCGGCATGTTTCATAATCACAACTGAAAACGCAAAATAGGAAAAAATGTCTGTTTTCCCAGACATCAATTTTGGCCATTGACACAGTATCCATTCCCATCACTTCTAAACATTTATAAAGCGTCCATTTACTGTAATGAAAGAGTTCTGTCCTTATTTACTCACCCTCATAATGTTTCAAACCTGCATACTGCTATTGTTTTATTGACCACGCCTGTCAATTTCCAAAAATGACAACCAAACTATAAAAACACCATTTAAGAATTATAAATGTAGTCCATACGATTTCTGTGCAATATTTTAAGCATTCTGAAATCATATGAACAGGCGTTCTTCTCCACTGTAGATCTCAAATCTCAACTTTTGTATATGCTAATTATCAAAGTCCCTTTAAGGCAAGCCATGTCACTCGGCGGCCATCTTTGAAATGCCTCTCGGGCATGCGATTGGCTCTTTCATTCAGAAGGCAGGGCTTCCTGCGATTGAGCGGCCATATTAAGCGTTGCATTTATCCCAATTCAAAACTATACGAGTGACACGTCTTGGGTATCCTATAGTCTTTGTAATTCTTCAGAAGACTTGGAATAAAGCACATGAGTTACATAGACATCTTTCATGGTGCTTTATGTTGTAGCTCCACCTCAGTGTCATTTACCTTCATTGATTTTTCATTAGCATTATTGTTTTTGGAGTTTCACACCTAGAAATAGAAATATCATGAATTTGAGAGAACTGGTTATGGACGTCTTAGGCGTATTTCATATTGTATTTCAATGCTTTTTCATTGCAACGTTTGTGTTCTCTTGCAAAAGTATTGCATTCCCTCAAGAACATTTACGTTCTCTTTCAAAAATATTGTGTTCCCTCAAAAAACGTTGTTTGCTTGCCAGTCTTTTGCATTCTCTCGCAAAAGTACTGCGTTCCCCTAAGAAACTTTGTGTTTGCTCGCTCCAGATCTGGAACAGCGTTGACATGAGAACAGTTGAGCACATGAATGACTGATTCTTGAGCTGTAAGCTGTTCATTGATGGTAGGAACTTCTGTTGTGTTCAGGACAATGTCCAGACTGAAGTCTATACAGGGGCCTCACGGCCCTGATCATGCTTCCCCTCACGACTCGTTACGCAACGCATGTTATCATGATAGCATCATAATATCCATCTGCACGCTTGACCCACTTTTTGCTCATCTCGCAGTGGACAAATGGGTCTGGTCTGCGGGGGAGAAGAAGAGCTCCCTGGTAGCAGACAAATTTGATTTAGTGTTATGTAGAGTGGTTGGTTGTGTTGTAGTTTTATTCAGGACTGAGGAAAAATAGGACTGAAGGAAGAACAGTAGGGCTTGAGACTGGACTTGGTAGGGTGCCTAGTTTAATGTTGCTTGCTGGAAAGAACCGAACATTTCTGTGTTACATAATAGCAGAGCAGCAATGAGAAACCATCTGGAAGTGACAACAGACCTGAAGGAAAATTGGTCTCAGACCTTGCCCTTCGTTGTATCACCGAATCAAAAGAAGACAGTTGAAAGTCAAACAAAAGACACTTGCTTGGCAGATGAGCCGTGTCATGCTTGACCGAGCAAACGTTTGGCAGCTTATCCATGTCATGAGGTAAAGAGATGATTTATGAGAAAACGAGTCTAGTGTTGAAGGTCAGAAGTTGTTGTTTCCACACAAAGCACAACAGTCACATTCTTGAAGAAAATATCTCCACAGAGAAACAATGATGTAAAAACCGTTCCAGACAGACCTACCATGAAACCATTATACCATATATAATTTTAAGGGAAATTAGACCACATGACATTTTATAACCTAAGCCATGTCATTAAATGGTCAAATTATCTGAGAATTTAAAAGATTATTGACCTTGACACAGTCCTGAGGGCTCTCTATGATATTGTTTGCATTTTTAACGTTGATTTGAGCTTGATTTGGCCTTGAAGGACTTGCTACTGCCAACAGATATATAGACATGCTGCTGTAAGCATGTAAGATATGCTGCTGCATGAATAGTCATTCATAAATCCAGTAGCAGATTTAGACAGGTGGTGCTGGGGGAGGTGGAGAGTCTCAGAGGAACACTATAGCATGCTGCAGGACCAGCTTACAGTGAACTCTAAACCAGACTATTTAAATGTTGAACAAGCAATCTCATTGGCTGCAGAATCAGCAGTCAAGCTTGTGCCATGCAATGAATGATGTGATTGCTAGCAGGTTGCATGTTAAGGAGTCTGCGCCATCTAGAGTTTCATGATTGAACTATATGTTTTTCCCTAAGAAATAGTAATAAAGGTTTGTCAGACAAATGTTTATGTCTGCTGCTGCATGAATAGGTGTATATATATATATTAAGCCTACTATATAAGAATTGTATTTTTATTTAATACTCACTTTTATTTTAAAATATGATAGTATTATCACACTTTACTATTTCGTTTATCATCTAAGTGCAATAATACTACTATTACTATTTTTTATTATTTTTAGTGCTGTCAAAATTAGCACGTAAATGCAGGCGATTAATTTTTCCAGATGTTGTCAGGCCATATGCCAGTAAAAACAAATTTTCCTGTACTGTCAGCCGTTATACTGTGCTCATAGAGTGTGCTCTTCAATTGCACGTACAAATACAGAGGTGTGCGCTGTAGCCTGTATCATTTAATATTTAAGCGCAAATGAAACTACAAGCATGCGTGTCAGATCCGCATTACGTTCAGCAGCGGCAGCTCTTAAAGTAATAGCAGCCAAATAACCTAATAACCCAACTGCTGTCATGACTGTTAAACAAAGAACAAACGAGAGAAGAGGAAATCAATAACTTTGGGAGCTTTTAGGATTCATCTATATCTAATTTAGAACTTAGTGTTTGATAATAATTTCTGTATATTTCGTACTTGCTGAAGGGCACAGGTAAATATGACATTTATTACAATGGGTTTATGTGAAGATTGTTTTAAGTTTACTTAAATTAGAAGTTATGTTTTAAAGTCTACGTTTTAAAGTACAACATTACGTTTAGTCGGTGGTTAAATATTAGGGAAAAAAAGAACAATTTCCTAGAGACATTAGTAGTATTGGTATCAGTGATAGGCCCTGTCCCAAATGACTCGCCTTCAGTCATAAAAAAAAGATGCCATTAAACAAATATTAAAAATATACTGTCTTTGTTGTTTCTACATTAATTTGAAGATTAAATGTGAAATTATTGCAATATTAAAGTATATTTAAAAACTTTAATGTTAGGTGGGATTAATCTCGAATAATCGGAAAATGTGTGATTAATTAGTTACGTTTTTTAATGAAAAAAGAACAATTTCCTAGAGACATTAGTAGTAGTATTGGTATCAGTGATAGGCCCTGTCCCAAATGACTCGCCTTCAGTCATAAAAAAAAGATGCCATTAAACAAATATTAAAAATATACTGTCTTTGTTGTTTCTACATTAATTTGAAGATTAAATGTGAAATTATTGCAATATTAAAGTATATTTAAAAACTTTAATGTTAGGTGGGATTAATCTCGAATAATCGGAAAATGTGTGATTAATTAGTTACGTTTTTTAATCAATTGACAGCACTAATTAGTAACTAGTTATATTTAATAGGTCACACTACGTGCAGTGTGAGCACTAAACAAAATCACCAGGTGCTCTCAGACTAAAAAAAACGCATGTTCACCCCTGCATATATAAATCCTGTGGCAGATTTAGACAGGTGGTGCTGGGGGAGGTGGAGGGTTTCAGAGGAACTCTATAATGTGCTGCAGGGCCAACTTACAGTGAACTCTGAACCAGACTATTTAAATGTTGAGCAAGCAGCTTACTGACTGCAGAATCAGCAGAGGCCAATCAGCTTGTGCCATGTAGTGAATTAATTGCTGTCAATGTTCTTATGTCTGCCATTTGAATTGTTGATGCTCTTGCAGGCAACTGGAAGAGCAAAGACAAGGTCAGCCGTTCACAGTCCCAGAGGTCAAGTGGAGTGGACGCTGGCCGTGGGAGTCCTGCAAGGCCACAGAGTGCCAAGACTCACCGCAGCCACTCAGGTGGGATATGAGGAGCTGACCTTAAACACACTCACAGCAGATGAGAATAAAGCAGTTAAAGTTGGCTGTAAATAAACACTGGCTTTTGACCTATTTTAGCTACAAGGCTAACGGTGTTCAAGAGCTGCTAACACTGAGGTGCTGTTCTTGACCTTTGAACTTTAAATACCCTGGCTATGTGCAAGTTGAGGCTCAGCAGGTTACGACCTGTGTGTATATCTTATCCATGCCTGAGCTAATAGAGAAGTGAAAATAGTCAGTTGTAAACAAAGACAGGCTGTTTTTCTGGCGGCTCCCGAGTTAGCATGTGTAAAATGATCAGTGCTGTTTGCTAAGGTTGCTAAACTGTCTCTTGTTTTTAGGGTTAGTGCTTTGAACAAACCCTTAACAAGAAGTCAACTTCATTGTGACTTAAGCCAATTGAAAAGCAGTCATGAAAGTGTCTCTCTTTAAGTACACTTAGGTGGTCTTTTATATCAGTTATTTGATATAATCTTCAAATACAGTTTTTAAAAGATATAAGATTTTAAGTTGCATTTTAAGATGAAATAAGATTGTATCTGCACTACATGTGCGCATTTAATATACAGCTAAGCACACTTAAGTTCTTTTTCACAAGGCCCTTTAAAGGAGATGTTTTTAAGTCATTATGTAAGCGTCTGACAGATGCCTCACGTTTGTCAGTTCACGAGTTGTACGTGATGCAGTTGTGATCGTAACTCACACTTGAATGCTCTTTAACCTTTGAACTTTTTAAACCCCCCCCCCCCCCCCCCCCCCCCCCCCCCCCACCCCCCCCCCGCAGAAACA